CGCGATCATGGCGATGACAACCCAGATCGTCTTCTAGCCCAGGTACACGTTTGTCGGCTCGAATACCCTGACCCGGCAATCTACGGAACCGCCAGGCGATGCATTCCATGTATAGCGTTTACTGTACTTACTGTCTACACATGGTCCCCTTGTGGAGGCTCGTATCACCAATGTCTATCATCAATGCCCTGACACCGATGGTGACAACCATACCGCTTACATGAAAAAACCTCCGAATCTCTCAGTCACACAACTATGCCCTTGACCCCCACAAGCCTGTGCGGCAACAAAAAGGAACTCCTGGAGAAAGCAAAGGTCGCAGGCTACTGGGGTCGGCCTGTTGTGCCCGGCCCATACAAGACCTGGTGGATATTGATCGAACGTAATGCTTTGGGGAATCCCTAAGCACTACATTCTCACTCAGATATTAGCCATGACACGAGGCATGCCAACTGCTCGGCGTCACGGAATACTAGAGGAATACTGACCGTTCCCACCATTAGCGCGCATATCTTTTTAAATTACGTGCCATCATCATTGCCAAATAGACAGTATCCATAATACTGTACAAAACAACTCTGACTTCGGTTAGAACATGCTGGCCCAAAAGTCGGCCCATGGATGCACTTGAGCGATGCCCCGAACAGACGTTTCCCCGAGGCCCGCCACTTACTTACTCAGACCCCATGAGAGCCGCTCCGCTGGATGACGCTACTAGAGTGGAGCTCAATCTAGCCAAGTGCCGTTCCTGCCGCAAGCTCTGTTCACGGCCTGCTTTTGTTATCGTACGTTCACGCCTTGAAGCGTGATAGCGTATATGCAACAACACACCACCTTGCAGCAGCGTAAACAGAAGGCAACAAAAAAAAGCAGCTTAGCGCATCTCCTCTCTATCTGCAGCATCTACAGCTATACGCCAAGAATATTTAATCTATGTTTGCTTAATTTTTTCCACCTGGAAACCAAAAGTAACATAGCAGTCTTCTTCTCAGGACCTGTTCAGGACCTGTTCAGTTCAGCTCCGTTTTCCGTCTGCTAAACTCAATCCATAAACAGTATGGGCTCCGTCTAGGAAAAAGCAATTACGTGACTGCGCTAGTTATAGAACCAGCTTCCCCTCTCCTATTGAAGCTCTGAACTTTGAACGGGAACAAAATGAAAACGGAAAATCGGAAAATCGAAAAGGCTGTCAGCCGATACATTTACTCAGATAGGTCCGTAGAGCCGCGGTCTAAGGAAATGCTTTTGCCGTTCACCCACACACAAACTGGGCGACAAGACAATATCACAAGACAGGGTATCTAGAAAGAGCAAAGACACAGGCGACTGAGACGTGAGGTTGAGCTAGCGGTACCACAGGGCAGGATACCTTGGCTCCAGCCACAATGATAGCCCTAGAAAGAAATGGCCCAAAGCGTCCATCCACAGCGCTGGCCGTGTCAGGTGTCATTCTAGCCTGCCATTTGCGAAACTCGCGTGTTTCCTGCCGTCAACATCGCGCCCTGCCATTAAAGTTTGTGTTGCACCCCCATGCTAAGATCAACATAATCTTTTTTTCTGTGCCCGCAGTGCCCGCAGTGCCCGCAATGCCCGTGGTCCGGGAGTATCCGAGAACTAATCATCAGGTTTATTAAACCCGTAGCTCAACTATCGCCTCGAAATAGACATTGTAAATACGAACATATGCTACCCAAAGAACAAAAAGAAAAGTGATTCGACGCACATCACAAGCACATCACAAGGATGATCGCTAAACTCTACTTCTATCACATCCGCCACCAACATGGTGTCCGCACCCATTCGTACGTATCTGCAGCCTCACAAAAATGGTATACAAAAAACAAACGAATACGACAAGACTCCCCACCCCCTAAACCCTATGAATACAAATTTCTCTCAAAGCATAAGGGATACGAACAACCTCACAAAGCACAAGAATACGAATTCTCGCAAACCATATATCTCGCGCGAAAGTATGTGTATAGAAAAACCACGCACGCAATACGCAATACGCAGCACGCAACACGCGACACGCAATTTGTCATAAGTTTCGTCAGTAAAGAAAAACCCCCAGCACTGAGGTTGATCACCTGTTCCAACTGCAGCGTCAATCCTTCATATCTACATCCCTCATCTTCCAAATCCCCCCTTCTCCCCCCCCCTTCTCCGTCCACAAAATCCCCGCTCAAGTCAACATAGCTCCTTCCTCTCCCCCTCCCTTCAACAAAAAAAAACCCCAGAAATTGAAGATCTAAACAGCGAACTCCCGTCACTTCCCCAAACGAGGCAAAGATCCCCATAATACTAGTAGGAACAAAGATACTTGTCTTCATATTTGCTTGTTTGCCTTTGCGGTGTAGTGATGATCATGATAGTGAGACCGAGTTTGAAGTTTTTTACTCACTCGATTAACATGGACTGAGTAATTATGGATGGGTTAGTGAGTTCAAAAAGACGAGTTGTATTTAGGTATGCATGGACTTGTATAAGCTCAGGGTACTAGCATTTCTGCTAAGAGGACAATACGGCTTATTTCCGTGTTTGGCAGGAGATGGGAATGAAGGTGTTGTGTAGTGCGGTACTGGGGTTGTAGAATAACTTTCTTTGGCATGGCTAGACTACATGATGGAGTCTTGGGAGAAAGTATCGGCTGTGTTTTACTTGACATGTGTGTGTGTGAGATACGATTCTGTAAAACGTATCAGAATCTTGCTTAACGGGTTGTAAAGAGGATAAAGAATATATAGCATAGTACTAGATTTTTGGATGATAGCTGAGGTACTCAGTTAGTAATGCAAATGGTATTTCGAGTCTTGATAATTCTTTGAAAGTGGTTCAGGGGGCTACACAATGATTTCAATACACTTGGTAGATGTACACTTGAGATTCACATGTGCTAGGTAAAAAAAAGATTCGATGGACTTTCAAAGTACTCGTCAAGCAAGCGTGTGACGTACACTGATGTTGTAAATCTACTCCAATAAATCAAACTCCCCAAATTCTTTGCGCATTGCGTACAAAGCTTCAATGCAACTTTCCGTGTCAAAATCGAAAGCCGGATCGGGTACCTCATGTATGTTGACAATGTCGTTTTCGACACCTCACATAGCGGATCCTTGGGAGAAGAAGGAAAACAATATTCGATAGAAATACGGCACATGCATAGCTCGTGTCACAAGGTTCTAGTTATGAGCATAACTCCCAGAACCAGGATGACGGGAAAAAAGCTAAGGAAGATAGCTTGGGAGATTGGTAAGACGCATATAAACACAGTTTGAGACATGTAAAAATCACAAGCGAGTTCCAAAAAAAAAGCGACAGAGGCAAATTAAAAATCCACATTTCCTCCTACTCCCCTGTATCCTTCTCTTCTTACACCAACATTGTACAACACCCCTACATAATCACCCCAACTTACACAGTCTTCTTCCACTGTGCCCACACACCCAACAGCGAACTCGTCGTACCGGCCAATCCCACAATACCATCATCAAGATCGACCCAACCAAGCGCCGAACTGGGAATAGTGATATCGCACAGGTCGCTGATAAGCTGGACCTTGACAGCATTAAGCTCGACCTGCAACTTCTTCGTCTCAACGACCTTCTCTGGGTCCGAAGACTGGGTAATGGCCTTTGAGCGCTGGAGCAAGTTGTAGTACGAGTACAGGCCCGAGGCAATCGAGCACGAGATACCCGCGAACCAGGCGCGGTAGCCTTCGCGCAGCAGACGCGGGGCGTAGGAAGACTTGCGGATGGCGGTTGCGTCGAGCTAGTGGGTCAGATGTTAGCTACTGACTTGGATCGAGGTATCGATTTGACGTGAGAGGACAGGTACATACCACGCAAGCGTTATCACACAGCATATAAAACGCATATCCCAACTGTCTTCCAATAGCAGTAAACCTCAGCACGGGATCCATGCTCTTGGCATCAGTAGCTACAGCCGCAGCCCTGAAGTGCTCGACAAACTTGCCCACGCGCATGAGCTTGCGCGTCTGGCCAAACGTCTTCTTGGTCGCATCGAACGGCGCGATGGTCGATGCTGGGCGGTTGGTGCGGTACAGGTACCAGGCTAGGAATCGAGAGAAGTACTGCAGCGTTCGCAGCACTTTGTCGCGCCCGACTGTTCACATGTCAGATGGAAGGACGAGAATGATGGGGCGTATGTAACGTAAAGGAAGTGGGTTATGCGGGATGTGTTGTATGTATATGTCCAGCATATCAATTAAGCAACAAGGAAAGCAAAACGTACCAGTTGTCGCGACAAACTTGAGGTAATGCGACACCGTCGGGTGGTAAACTAGAGCGTCCGCAACCATATTGTCTGCTGTGCTTTGGATCCGAATATATCAGGCCGAGTATGTAATCGCGAGGGCGAAGGAGTAGAAGTCCAGCTCCAATCTTTCTCTTGTATGCAAATGGGAGGGCGGTTTGTCTTCTGATGTAGGTAGAGAGAGTGAGAGAGCAAAGACAGGAGTGTCCGGGGAGGGCAGGTGTGGGTTGAGAAAGGGAACGTCTGGGGATGCGACAAGTGCGGAGCCCGCGTGCGGAAGCGTAGGGAGTCGGTCGCTCTCTGAGCGTGATTGCCGGGGAAAACGCGACCACCTCGGCAACTCGATCCACACGTCACATTATCACCTAGCTTACAAGTACACCTTAACACGCTTGGAGCTGGACCTACGCGACACATGTGAATATGGCACACCGGCTTGTTGCAGTCGAAACACTCGGTTACTTTTTTCCTCTTCCCTTGTTGCTTTTACATTACTATTGCAGTCGCTGTTGCATGTCTCCGTCTTTCCTCGGTGACCTAGGTTATCATCATGACCCATGATCGCAATCTCCCTTTGCAAAAAAATATTTATAGACTCATTGTATAGACATGTCACATCTGGCCTTCCTCGGCTGCTGCGATTCAGCACATCGCACGTATAGATACCCATTTCGTCCACCAGCCTGTCCCACAAGCCAGACGCCAGACGCCAATAACGCTATCACCTAGACCTTGTAGAAACAGAAGGCATGATAAAAGTCCGCGGCCTCTAATTCCTCTTCCGAAGTCAGCAACCGGCCTGTCGCACGATCCCTGACCTTCATAACCTCGCTCAGCGGCCCGAGAATTGGATCGTCCTTTTGCTCCTCCCAGATGTCTCGGAATGGCTTGCGGTACTGTAGTTCAAGGTTGAAGTCTTCGGCCAACGCTCGGAATGCTTCCCACGGTACTACATACTCAGGTGCCTCGACGGCTTCCGTCAGCCAGTATGAATACTTCCAGCCATAGGGCGGGCGGAATGTGCCGTCTGGAGGTGTCTTGCCAGGAAACTTGACACTGTAGATGCTGTTTCCAAAACTGAATCCTTCGTCTTCGACTTCGCCGTCTTCCTGTTCCTCCTTTTCGTTGTCCTTTGTCTCGGTAGGCTTGTCGCCATTCTTATGCTCTGTGTCGGCGGGCTTGGGGCTATCGAGGCTCTTCTCAGGGTCCCAGTCGTCCTCGTCATCGCTTGCAAACGCTGGGCGGTCGTCATCGTCGTCATCGGCACCGCCATTTGTCTCTGGTGGTGCTGTGCCCTTGGCCTTGTGGTGCTCAATGACCTTTTGCGACAAAACATCCGAGTTGGGGATACAGCCAATAAATCGCCCTCCTTTCTTGAGGGCGCCAGCAACGTTTCGAAGCATGCCCTTGGCCTTGGCCTCACTTTCAAAGGCATAGTGCATGCAGAACATCATTGTGACCATGTCCCAGCCACCACCGCCCCAGCGCTGGCTCATAGCATTTCCCTGCCCAGCACCAGGATCAATACCCACCTCCTTGATGATGGGTATATCACCTAGCCACTCGCCAAAGCAGTCTTTTGCGTAGAATTCGCCATGGAAAAGACGCCTGTTCTTCCTCTGCATCTGCGAAAATCGTTCTTTGGCCTGTCGAATGGACACGTCTGCTGGATCACAGCCGACATAAAGCTCGATTTTTCTCGATTTTTCCCACTTGCCCAAGTCACCGCCCTTTCCGCACCCAATGTCCAGGATCTTAAGGTGTCGCTCATCGCCAATGAACTTTTGGATGATGGACGACTTGATCCAATTATTGAAGCTGCGCAGTCCCTTGATTTTGCTGTCAGTGTTGCGCCATTCACGGCCTCGCTCCGGCACCATGTTGTAGTGCTGCTTGACAACATCATGCACACCACGCTGTGCAGCTTCTTCGTGTGCCCGTCTAGCTGCCTCCTCTTCTCGTGCCTGCTGTCGCTTACGAGCCGCTTCTCGGTCGGCAGCAGGCACACGTGCGCCTGCTCCCGGACGCTTCCGTTGGCGTGGCGGTGATCTAGACGGTGATCTCGAGGGTGAGCGTGCGCGTTTGTTATTTTGCTCGGCGCCCGCCATGGTGTAGCTTCTGATGCAGCGCGTCTACTGGCGGGTTCTGGGTCCGACGCGTTGGTGAAGATGGAGTGTTGGTGGGCGGAGTGCGTGCGTTGGATTATCAGAAAAGGTGACTTTATGTGAAAGTATGGAGGGTCTTTGTAGTTTAGTAGAAAAATTAGCAAGGTAAAAGAAGAACAAGACTGAAGACCAGAAAGACCAAGTGCAACCGTTGTTCTAGCGTTCCGCGTCTCCAGTGTTCAGGGCCGTGCGCGAGCTTTACCTGCGGAAGTTCAGCGGCGGCGGGCAAGACACTCCCGTCATCACATCAACATCCCCACGACTCAACGCCGTCCGCTATTACCCACCACCACCACTTCCTTACCCTCCCCATCTCACACAATCAGCCACCATGGGTGATCCGCAATTTGCAAAGTATCCCGACCTCCAGCTGTCGCAGCACATCTTCCAGCTCACAAATCCCGCCGCCTCGAAACAAGCAAAGCAAGCTGCCTTGAAGTCGGTTCAGGATGGCATCACCGAGAACAAGATGGCGCCCCTCTACCGATACCTTGCACACCCTGTAGATGGCGTTCTCAATGCACAAGGCGAGGGCAGCGCAGACCAGCCGAGCAGGAACCGGAGACCTTCCGCCAGCTTAGCGACGATGCTTGCCACACGGACCCCGACGCTCGAAGTGCCACTTCCCTGGGATGAGAAGCTGTACGAGAGCCTAAAGGCCGAGTGCGAGAAGGAGTTGGAGGCGATACAAAAGGAGGAAGAGGAGGCAGAGGAGAAGGCTGGCGAGACCGAAGTGCAGGCTGCGCGGGGAAAGCGCGCGGAGCTGTACAACCGCATAGGCGATAAGGTATTCCATTTGCGCGCTATACAAAAGGAAAATGCCACTGACAATGATACAGGACAAAGCCATTGCCAGCTACGAGGCCATCTTCGAAAAGACGGGCATCCTGGGCACCAAGATCGACCTCGTCCTTGCCATAATACGCATTGCGCTCTTCTTCGGTGACAGGATACTGGCCAAGAAGTCGATTGACCGAGCCAGCGCATTGGTAGAGAGTGGTGGTGATTGGGATCGTCGCAATCGTCTCAAGGCATACACTGGATTGCACTACCTCACTGTCCGATCACACTCACAAGCTGCCCCGCTGCTGCTTGATAGTTTGTCAACCTTTACCAGCTATGAGCTTTGCAGCTACTCGAACCTTGTGGTCTACGCCATTCTTGCGGGCTCGGTAGCACTCAAGCGTGTTGATTTCAAGTCCAAGGTGGTGGATGCACCAGAGATCAAGGCGATTGTGGGCACTTCGGAGGAGAAGCTCTCCGCCATCACTGGGCAGGCTTCGGCAGGACCAGCAGCGGGCGATGAGGAGATGGCAGACGCATCAGGCTCAACAGCGACTCCTGTCCCCACGGTTGTCAATCTCACTACCCTTGGTGGATCACAAGACCAGGAGGCGGCAGTGGACTTTTCCCCGCTATCCAAGCTAGTCAAGAGTTTGTACGAGGGTGATTACAAGGGCTTCTTCGGTGCCCTAGGCGAGGTAGAGACCAACTTCCTCAGCCAAGACCGCTACATGTACGAGCACCGCGGCTGGTATGTCCGCGAGATGCGTCTGCGGGCCTACCAACAGCTCCTCCAGTCGTACCGCGTGGTTGGTCTGGAGAGCATGGCCAGAGATTTTGGAGTCACTGTTGACTTCCTCGACAAGTAAGTCATGACCTGTTGGATGTAGTCTACACTTGTACTAATTATGACGATTAGGGACCTTGCCCGCTTCATCGCCGCCGACCGCATTCCGTGCACGATTGACCGGGTCAAGGGCATCATCGAGACGAACCGCCCAGACGACAAGAACAAGCAGTACGCGGACGTAGTCAAGCAGGGTGACCAGCTCATCACCAAGCTGCAAAAGTATGGCCAAGCCGTCAGGCTGAGGGGAAGCGAGCGTGGTTAGACATTGGCCTTTAGCCAGGCAAACGTGTAATGATGATGTGATATTCTAGGCCTAGATGAAAACAGCGCAAAGTCAGCTGAAAGAAATATTAGAGTAATCGCCCTCGTCAACATGCTACCTCTTTCGTTCTAGGCGTTGCGGTGAGGGTTTCGGGGCCCGCATTGCATTGCCCTATCCGCAGCCTTAGCCCCGCTATCTCCGTGTTGCAGCTCGTCGGCAAGACGGGAGCGGCATGCGGTGCGATAACGGGGCGCAATATTGCTTTTGTGCCCTAGAGATGTATCCATTGTCTACCTTTTAGACGTCGATTTGTATCATTGCGACTCCCACGCCCCCATTACATCGCTTCTTACGAGCTCGATTCGACGCCGCCGGTGCAGAGCCCACGCCAGGTGTGGGGTGATCGGCCTCGAGCGACGCCATCGATAAGCACTCAGGGTCCAGCTACAATGTCGCCGTCATCGGCTTTGGCGCAGGCGTCTGTCCGCTCACTTTGCGCCCGTGGGAGTAGAGCACGGCAGAGTGGTGGCAACGTGGGTTCACGAGGTATTTTCCGATCCCCAGCCCTCTTCGCAACTTGGTCAGTCGCCAGACACGACGTGACTAAAGATGCCCGCATGGTGCCGCGCTACGACGAGGGGCAAGGCGTTTGTCGTGGGAGCACCACTATGGGGTGGGGCACCACTCGAGTAGCATAAAAAATATGGACTACTTTTTGACGCATACATGTCCTACGTGTTTCGAATGCGTCGCGGGAACTAGCATCTTGCATGCGCATCGCCTTCACCGGAACCATACTTAGTCCAGACCTGTGCTCACAACCTTAGTCCTCTATACACCCTTTACCTCCTCCACCCCTCTCCACCATCCACTCCTACGACCTTCATCACCGGCCCGACCCGCACATTTTTCATCGCACCGCCCACACACACGCACCATCATGTCCAAGGCACCAGGCAAGGTGTTGAACATTGGCAACATCAACCCCCACGTCAAGGCAGCCCAGTATGCCGTGCGTGGTGAACTAGCCGTCAAGTCGGAAGAGTACCGCGCCAAGTTGGCAAAGGGTGAGGGCAGTGACTTGCCCTTTGACACTGTCATTGCAGCAAACATTGGCAACCCTCAACAACTAGACCAGAAGCCCATCACATTCTTCAGGCAGGTCGCCAGTATACTCGAGAACCCGGGTCTGCTAGAGCATGAGGATGTCCTACTCAACAGCCTCGGATACAAGTCAGATGTTGTCGACCGCGCGAGGAAGCTCTTGAAAGAGGTCAAGAGTGTAGGCGCATACAGCCAAAGCCAGGGTGCTCCCGGCATCAGACAGAGCGTTGCAGAGTACATTGAGCGTTCGTACAGCGGTGCCTCCAGTTACAACCTTCCAACTAACAAAATGTAGGTCGAGATGGCTACCCAGCCAAGTTTGAGGACATCTACCTCAGCAATGGCGCTTCGTCTGGTGTAAACACACTCCTCCACACAATCTGCGCAAAGCCCGAGACTGGCATCATGGTCCCCATCCCACAGTATCCTCTCTACACCGCTACCCTATCCGTACTCAACGCACGCTGCGTACCATACTACCTTGACGAGGAGCAGGCTTGGGGCACATCGCTCAACTCTATCCGAACAGCCTATGACAAGGCAGTCAGCGAGGGCACAGATGTCAAGGCCATCTGCGTCATCAACCCGGGTAACCCAACTGGTGCTTCGCTCCCCGCCGAGGACATCAAGGCTGTTCTTCAGTTCGCTGCCGAAAAGGGCGTTGTTGTCATCGCAGATGAGGTGTACCAGACCAACGTCTTCATTGGCGAGTTCATCTCTTTCAAAAAGGCTCTCCGTGACCTGCAAAAGGAGACCCCTGGCAAATACGACCACTTGGAGCTGGCTTCTCTCCATTCCGTCTCCAAGGGCATGGTTGGCGAGTGCGGACACCGCGGAGGATACTTTGAGCTCGTCGGCTTCGACCCAGAGGTTGCGCAGGAGGTTTACAAGTTCATCTCCATTCAGTTGTGCCCGCCGGTGCTCGGCCAGTGCATTGTTGAGATGATGGTCAACCCACCCAAGGAGGGTGAGCCAAGCTACCCTCTGTACAAGGAAGAGTACGATGGCATTTTCAACGGACTGAAGAAGCGCGCGTATGCGCTGTATGAAGCTTTCAAGAAGATGGAGGGAGTGGAGTGCAATGAGCCTCAGGTGAGTACAATCCTACTGCCTTACCGAACCCTTGATCCCTTGCAGAGCCAGTCGCTATTCAGAGTGCTAACGCAAATCATTAGGGTTCCATGTACCTCTTCCCCACCATCCACCTCCCGGAAAAGGCTGTTCAGCAGGCCAAGAAGGAAGGTCGGGCTCCAGACGAGTTCTACTGCTTCCGCATGTTGGATGCGACCGGTGTTTGTGTCGTCGCTGGAACCGGCTTTGGACAAAAGGAAGGAACTTTGCATTTTAGGACGACCTTCCTTGCCCCCGGCACCGACTGGACTGGACGTATTGTCAAGTTCCACGAGGACTTCATGAAGGAGTTCAAGTAGTCTGCACGTGATTTAGGACGACTCCTGACTGCTCCATGAAGTAGACTGTGTAGGATTCGTCATCACGAAGTAAATGTGCCATGAATGACAATACTTTGAATCTCCCAACGTACTCATATATGTGGACTTGGCACTGAGCGTTGGCTAGTAGGGGCGGCGTCAGCACCATTCCTTCCGAACGATGAGCGCAATATCGCAACTGCCGTGTCTTGTACCTGAATGGCCCTAGTCTTGGCCCGTGCAGCGTGACATTGGACGAGTAGGTACCCGGACGTGTATTTACATATGACGGTATGGCGTCCTACGGTCCGCTCCCGTCCTTTCTTTTCCTTTCTCATTAGCCTGCTCTTCGTCTTACTTGTTGTTCTCGTGCTTCTACCATTTCGTTACCACCTCCTATATAAATCGACTCTTCGCAAAAACGACGTCATGGGCCTATCAAGAATCGAGGTACTACCCGATGAGCTACTCGATCTGATCATGTGCTACCAAGATCGCAGGGCACTTCATGCCCTCTGCCTGGTATCCAAAGACATGAACCGTATCGCAACTGCCCGACTATATGCAAACATTGAACTCGAAAAAGACGACTTCAAGTACCTTCGCCCCTTAGCGCTCCTATTCTGGACATCTGCACCTCATCGCGAAGCCGTGCGTTCCCTGTGCGTGCGACATGCATACGGCGGCAATCTCGACCCTTGGCCCAACCACCCAGACCTCGATGCCATCATCAGGAAGAACCTCGAGTTGTACGTGAGGCTAGGTGATCGGGAGCATTGGTTCAACGAAATCAGAGACGGTGCTGATTCGACGCGCATCGCAAGTTTGCTGTTAAGAAGCCTACCTCATGTCATGACGATGCAATTACCTGGCTTCGATTTAGTCGACCCTGCATCGAGAAAGACGGGAATTAGTGTGCTGCGCAACATTTCTTAATAGAAAACCATGCTTTTCTGGTTCAAGATACTTGATATTCACCACGTTCCGCAACCATGGGTTACAGCCTGGATGCGCGAGGCAAACATGCAGTAATTGTCAAGTGCGCGATTCCTGTTACAGATCGAAAAGCCTGATTCGAAAATCGGCGTTTTTCATAATTAGTGTGAAGCACCACCAAAGCGGGCCCCTTCACTCAACTATGGTTTCGACTTCTCAATATGCTCAAACGCGGCAACTCTTTTTCGACCCAAAAGAACCCGAACCACCGTTAGTTGAACCGTCCATTTCTAGAAAGATGAATATGTCCATATTTTCGAAATAACCATCCGATGTCTGCTTCGTTATCTCACAGCGCGGAGACAGCGTGTTGTGGAAAGCTGTCTTGACCATGGTTGACAGGAAAAGAGCCTTTGGGCGCACTTTATATGTGCAGAATAGGAGAAAAGTTGACAATGAGATTTAAGTGCTCTTGATCCCAGCACCTAATTTCAGCTGAACACATCGCTTCAGCAATATCAACACAATGTTCTCCTCTACCAACTTCAATGCGGAAAATGGCGAAGATGTTGTACACGAGAAGCAACCCAACAGCGAGGCTTCTTTAACCTCAACTCCAAATGCAAGATCGGATGCTGCTGAGCAACTCAGCAATTCTACTATGTCTTCACCTCTATCCAACTCGAATTGTTCGGCAAAATGGACACGATCCGATGGCTTCTGGCGATCTTTCATCGCCATATGCATACCACTGCTTCTTTCCGCACTGGAAGGAAGCATCACGAACACGGCACTACCCACCATCTCCGAGGTCCTCGATTTGAACACCAAATTCTCTTGGATAGCAACTGCTTTTCTCCTGTCCAGCACCATCTTTCAGCCTTTGTACTCTCAAATGGGAGATATATGGGGACGCAAACGCCCTATGATGGCAACCATCGCCATTTTCGCTCTCGGCAGCGCAATATGTGCCGGAGCAAAATCAGGCCCAGTGCTGATTTTGGGACGGATCGTTCAGGGCTTAGGCACAGGCGGAATCGATCTCTTCGCTGAAATGATCCTCTGCGACATCGTCCCGTTAAGGAAGAGAGGTCCTTATCTAGCGATCAAGCATGTTGCTTTCGCCGTTGGGACGACATTGGGGCCGTTACTCGGTGGCGTTTTTGCAGAGCATGGATGGTACTGGTGCTTCCTGATCAACATACCCATCTGTATCATCTCGCTGGTCATTATGTGGTTTTGGCTCAGTGTTGGCGAAGGCGTCACTGATAGCGGGGTATCTATCGGAGACAATCTGAAAAAGATTGACTACATCGGGTGTGGCATACTGACTGGTTCTGTGCTTATGCTTCTCGTTGCACTCAGCACTGGCGGCGCACCCCGGCCTTGGAACCACCCATCCATCATCACACTCGTTGTGCTCGGAACACTGGGTCTCATCGGCTTCATCGTCTGGGAACGCTCTCGCTTTTGTAAATACCCCATAATGTCACCCCACGTCTTTTCGAACCGTACGACAAACATTGTCTTCGCGTTGACCGTCATGCATGGATTCATAACCTACGGCTTCCAATTCTACCTCCCGCTCTTTTTCCAGGCCATCAAAGGCTCATCCCCAACAAAGTCCGGCATTGAAGTTATGCCCACGACACTTGTCATTGCCATCCTTGCTGCTATCGGCGGACCCGTTCTCAGCTTGACAGGAAGATACAAGCACATCCACATAGTTGGCTTCGCTTGCGTAACACTCGGCCAGGGACTCTGCATAATGATTGACCACAGCACATCCCCAGGTCTATGGATCACCATTCAACTCATCGTAGCGTCTGGCCTTGGAATTATGATTCCGACTATGCTCCCCGCCATCCAAGCAAAACTTCCTGATGCTATTACAGCAGCAAGTGTAGGATCATGGGCTTTCCTACGCGGAACAGGATCACTCTTCGGTGTCGCAATCCCCGGTGCAGTCTTCAACGCGCGCTTTACCTCGCTTCTACCCAGCATCTCCTGGCCAGCCGCCCAAGCAAAGCTCTCCCACGGCCAAGCATACCAGCGTGCAACAGCTTCATTCATCAAGAAATATGGTATCACGCCTGCCATAAAAAGTGAGATTGTAACCGCATACACGCAGTCGCTCAGAAGCGTGTGGATTGTCTTTACCGTCATGGCCGCGCTGAGCTTCTGCATCAGTTTCTGCGAGAAGGAGTACAAGATGCGGACCGTGTTGAATACGGCTTACGGGCTCAAGTCTAAGCAGACGACGCCAAGCAACGGGTTGCCTGCGGGAAGTAGTACACCGAAATCTTCGGCTGCATCGACGGTGGTCGAGACGAGAGCGCAGACCCCTGTTAAGAGCGAGAGTGAGAGTGAGATGGCTGGCCATGAAGGTAAAGAGAGGGGTTTGGAAACTGGATTGTAAGAGTTTTTGTCATGTATACTAGTTGGGGTCGCTTACGCAGAGCATTTTGGTTGTCGTGGTTTTGTTTTGTTTCTGGGATATTGGTCTTTAATGGGTTTAGCTTCTGCGCTTCACTGTACGTATAGTATATGCACGGATTACTCTCTGTCTTTTCTTTTCGCTCCTTATATGAAAAGTAGTAGTTCTAATATTAATATTATTTAAAGTGCGTGTTACAAAGAGCCCTCTTCTCGCCTATTGTAAATAGGTGATTATGTGAAGAGCTCAAGGTGGAAGAAGATATCTTGATTTAACATACTTGGCCTTGGATGAGCTTGTTTATGTAGATTGTTTGTAGGGAGTCTGAGTCAGTGTAGGAGTATTACCGGCTTACTATCCACTGCTTCCTTGGTCCAATTACAGCCTTTATCTCCATTCCTAAAGATTACAACATAGATCGTAAACCTAAAGAATAACCTCCCTAATACTAGAGATGCGTTTTGGTCGGTGTAGAGGACTTTTTCCACCTTACTGTTATCGGTTTGGCAAAATACGATTGCATACATGGTCTATACAGTGTACCGAGAAGTCAAGGTTCTGGTTGATGCACCATTGGCTAACAGCTGTTTTCCTGGACTCTGACCTGTCTTGAGATTCCACTAACCTCGTATTTGTGCAGCTAGGCGCTGATCTCCGAAATATCATGCACATTGCGATTTGCTCTTAGGTAAATAGGCATCCAGCTCGACATATCGGCTGTACACGGATGAGTCGATTTCGTTCATGAAGGAGTCACAGTTCTCACAGTTTTGACTGCGACAATCCGAAATAAATCAATTGTCCATTCCATGTCAAATCCTACAGGCTCTTGGTATAGCCATATCAACTCTCCAAGTTCTCATGCTAGATCGGTGATGAGTTCGGCAGTGCATCAGAACCAAGCACCGAGGAATCTTGGAGCTGTTCACGCGACAAGCTGGATCCGCACTTTCCGGCTTGCTTGTGCGGATACTTATCCGCAGCTCGATTGGCAGTGGTATATATCAAAGCAATTCCCGCCCTTTAACGAGTCCTAGCATTGCGCCCCAATGTACATCGACATGCTGACGAGAAAAAAAGGTCTTCGTTGGTTGGTATCACCGTGCTCCCTAGCTTAACCCTTCCGTCGGGTAACACAAAGGATCAGCGACACACTGTTACATCCAGGCACTTGGTAAACCTGTTTGCTCCACAACCCCGTGGGGTCCCAACGTGCCCTTTCAGATTTTGTTGGGAGATCGTCGCTGTCACCGTCACAACCGCCGTCATAAGCGCCCCGTCCACTTTATACTCACGGCCGTGATTACCGTATGGCTAGATGGATAACCCGAGGATTTCTCTAGTACTGCGCGTATTACTCACGTCATCTACGTCCATAACCCGAGAGCGGATATCGCACCGCTGCATTCCTATCGACGGATTGGGCACTTGCTAGTTTCCGGTGTTGTACATGGCATGGCTTGCCATCACCACTACCTCCCGCGACCTGAACCCGGAATGTCCCGTGGGGAAAGACAACAACCTTTGGCGCGGTGCGTGCTGGCCAAGACGAGAATTGCTCCACGGACTCGCTTGGCCGCGACATGATTGGGTCCGTGGTAGGGTGGAAGAAAAGTCGAAGCCACGCTCCTTGGCCACGCTCGAGACGAAGTCACACCATCCCCGACCAATTCGACCACTTGTTCTCCAAACACGCGATCACAACTGCAGCGCGGCTGAGAATCCATGCTTCACAAGACAATTAGCTCTCTAATTATGCAACAAGCTCCACCATTGGCACGAAATCCCCCGCAATGCCACTAGCCCAAGATCTTGGGATCTTGGGGTTGATCTGGGCTCGCTTGGCCTAGACGTTAGTGGAACACCGAGCTGGTTTCCCTGCCACCAGGTCAGTCGGCATCACGAAACACCAAGCCTTTGTGGACTTGCCAAACTACTTGTCTCCCCGACAAGGCCGCCGAAGCCCAGGGTTTTGTCTGGGCTTTTGACCGGAACCAGTCACAAGGACTGACTAAGAAACGTTCTCCATGACGAACCCCGGCCGTCAAGCCGTCGGCAGTCATACGGATTACCTTCCTGGGATGGTATATGCGTATTTTTTTCTTCGCCTCCGATGTCAGCAGTGCATGCTGACCGAGAGAGAGAGTCTTGTTTTTGGAAAAGACTTCTTTGCATTCTTTGCACTCTCAAGAGGGGACTCGGCGTCAAAGGGACCAAGCCGCCTGTTTGTGACCATCAGTGTAGCTTACAGTAGGTGGCGTTCACACTATTTGAATATCGATACTGCAGTTGCGTCGGATACGAGACCTCCGACAAGTGGGCGCTGTCCGTTACCCCAGCCTAAGCTATTAGAATGCGGAAAGGTGACTGGTGATGCCCAGCTTCTAAGGCAGTCCGCCCTCAGGGCCCTCCACAACTCGCATATTTGCGATTCAGAATCGGGATTTGCACCCAATCACTTTGTCTGAGCGCTGGGCAATTGTGTTTGGAAACCCCGCATTCCCCGTTTTAGCCACACCGGGAGCTCCAAACTTGTTCCAAGGCGGCCGGGAGAAGTGCCCTGAGATGGCTTGGAAGGCATGCACGCGCGGAGGTACCTTGACAAGTTCGTGTGTTTTCGGAAGAGAGTAGTTGGGGATGATCTGGGGCAAAAAACATGGAGGTCTTCACCCCACACTGAAACGTGGGCCGTGAATATAAGAGACGAAGCCCACGTCCCCGGATTCTTTCTTCTCCAGATCATCCAGCTCGGTCTCTGGGGATCTAACAGTACTTTGTTCATCTCTTTGTCTACCACATCATTTCCAAGTCTTTGTAGCTGTAGAACAGTAACTTGACTGGAATATTGATACAAAATCGCCACCATGCAGGACACCAAGAAGGACCATGCCGTTATGATGGAGCGGGCTCAAACTCATGATGATGAGCCCATAAAGCCCATCCCTCAAGTCGACAAGATCGATTATTCAGGAGCTCATGAGAAGACGGATCCGCGAGAAATCGCGCTGGTCAAGAAGCTGGACAAATGGATTATGCCCATGTTGTGGTCCATGTACTGGCTCAACTACCTGGTATGGTCACCCAGCCACCTGATTGTGAAGACAGCAGAATCACTGACACTACACAGGATCGTAATGCCATTGCACTGGCACGTCTTGATGACTTGGAAGAGGACCTCAACCTCAGCAGCACGCAGTATCAGACGTGCGTCAGCATCCTGTTTGTCGGATACCTGCTTGGTCAGATTCCCAGCAACATGCTTCTCAACCGAGTTCGCCCATCACGATACATGGGGGTCTGCATGGCTCTGTGGGCCGTCGTCTCCGCCCTCACTGCGCTGTCCAAAGACTTTACTGGTCTCCTCCTCACCCGCTTCTTCCTAGGTATCACAGAATCTCCGTACTACCCTGGCGCTGTCTATCTGCTGTCCTCGTTCTACACCCGTAAGGAGGTCGCAACCCGTATCGCCATCCTGTACACTGGTAACATTCTCGCTACCGCCTTCGCTGGTCTTATTGCCGCAGGCATTTTCCACGGCTTGAGTGATGTTGGAGGGATCAGTGGCTGGAAGTGGCTCTTTATCCTTCAGGGAGCCGTCACCTTTGTTATTGCAATTGCTGGCTACTTTTTGCTCCCTGACTTCCCCCACAACACCTGGTGGTTGACCCAAGAGGAGCGTGATCTCGCCACTAACCGCATGGCCCTCGATACTGTCGGCAACCAGGGTGAGACATCTGTGTGGGCTGGTTTCCGCCAGGCTGGAAAGGACCCCATGGTCTGGATCTTTGCCGGCATGGCACACATGCATTTGGCTGCTAATGGTAAGCTAAACACAACTTTTGGATATGGGAGCAGGACAGTGTACTAACTTTGACAAATAGGTTTTAAGAACTTCTTCCCTACCGTTGTCAAGACCCTCGGCTTCAGTCAGACCATCACCCTTGTCCTGACCTGCCCTCCCTACCTCATCGCTGGCGCCGTCACAATCGCCGTGTCGTGGTCTTCGGGCAAGTTCAACGAGCGAACCTGGCACATCACCATCTCCAAAGCAGTAGCCACTTTTGGTTTCGGACTCGCCTGCGCTGATATCGGTGTTGCGGGCCGCTACGTCGCCATGGTCATCTTCACCATCGGTACATATGGCGTCAACTCGCTCATTCTCGGTTGGTGTGGATCCACCTGTGGTCAAACACCTGAGAAGAAGGCCGTCGCAATCGGTATCGTGACTACTGTCATGAACGCTTCGTTTATCTGGTATGCTTCCTCTCTTTTCAGACGAAACTTACAAAAAAAAATGACAGCCAAGCTAACATGACTAACACAGGACCCCTTACCTCTGGCCCAAGTCCGACGAACCCAAGTACATCATTGCGCTCAGTTCCTCCGCCGCCTTCTCCGTCATGACTGCCGTCCTGGCCTGGGTTGCCAAGATCCTGTTTCTCCGCAAGAACAAGCAGATTCGCGAGGAGGACAGCGATGCTCAGAACTTTTATGTCTACTAAAGAAAACCCAAAAGGAGGAGCAGTGGAATATTGGAAGTACTCAAGATGGCTATGGTGCAACGGAATTTAAAATCTCACAGCATTGATTGCTAGAGTATCTTTTTATTTCCATGAATTGTTTTCGATGAGATAATGAGAAATGAATAATACTGTTTATTTTATTTGATGGATTCAAGACGATATCAAGACGCGCGCTGTACTTATTCCACTCAAGAAGATATGCATGTGAAAACGGATACCATCATTGAAACTTCAATCTAATCCCAAACATTACATATCGATGTTAAAAAAAACATATCACATACATTCCCAACAAATGCACGTGTCGTCCAAACCAAAGAGCAAGAAGAAGAAGAAGAAGAAGAAGTATGACTAACCCCCCACTAATCCCAATCCGACACACCACACACACATGAAGAGAGGCGAACACCCGTTTGTCTTGGCAAAACGCGGCTATGTACGTAAACCCCCCCCCCAGCCGCACCAAAAAAACCACAGTCAGCGAGTCATTCTAGGCAACCACCTTTTGTTGCCCAATTTTTTTTTTGGGAATTTCTAAACAAGGAAGCTAAGTGCGGGAGATGTGTCATGGATAATTGGGTGGCTAGCTGGGAAATCTTTTGGAAGGGGGTAGCGAATCGGATGTTGAGGCGGGAAAGGGAAGGGAGCGGATATAAGAGTTGTTTCCCTCGAATGTTAAATGCCTCTTTTTGCTCGTTTTGTTTTTTTTCTCTCTGTTGAAAATCACGCATGGGCATTCGTGTGTGTATACTAATTCCATTGTTCGTCTTGGAGAAGAGATGGATTCAACTGACTTGATGGGGTCGGTCGTACAGAAAAAAGATGGATAAGAGGGGGGCGCTCTCTCCAGGCAGCAACTTAAAACCAAGAATACGAGAAGAAAAAAACGAGAAGAGAAGGGATATCCTGCAGGGCTCCCGAACGAGTAGAAAAAACGCCAGAATAACGCCGAGGCTATGCTTTTTGTGTGTCCTTGGTGTGCCAGTCTGCGGACGACGGTAATGGGAAAGATGTGCGCCGAAATCGTAAGAGAAAAGAGTAGGAGCAAAGAACAAAAAAAAGGCGGGATAAAAAAGGAAATGGGGTAAACGTCATGACTGTCGCATCGTCCTAACATGCTGCGTCCGGTGCGGTCGTCCACCTCTTTCCCGCCTCGCACCACCCATCTCGACGAAATTGCCCGGCGGACGAGTCAAATTGTGATTTCCTGCCTTGAGCTCCTTCAGATCCTCAGCATCAATCAAGCGTCGTTGCCATAGATACTCGAAAAGGGCAAAATCCGGTCGACTAGTCCGCAGCGTCTGGCCATACATGACATGAGCCGAAGCAACATGATGCATGCGAGCAGCCCAAGCAGCATGACCTCCACCCTCACATGCGCGAGCTGTCCAGTCACAAAGTGGACACTGCACTTTCAAAGGGGGTTCCTCGCCGCGGAAATGCGATAAGCAATGTCGTTCCCATTCCTCCTGGTTGTGCGAGATATAATTGCAGTCGAGGAACCAAAAAGCACATTCGAACACTGGCGCGCGGGTCATGCCCTGTGGCATTTCAAGGACGCCCTCATGTCCCTCTTCGAGCAGCGGGTACCCAGCAAGGTGGCCGGCGAGGCCCGTACTAACGCTCGTCTCGGTAGGCGTGGCTTCGGTGCAGCACGAGTGCAGCGACGGGGGACTATGAGTCGAGACATTGGACTGGTGGATCAGAGCCGGCGCCATGGACGAGACGCTCTTGATGGACTCTGGTTCGAGCACCAGGCTGTCAGCCGCCGGGGCCTGGATGCCGTGCAGGTATTGCGAGCCGATGTGTACCAGACGGGCAGAGAGGTCGGGTTGCTGCACCCAGTCGTGCAGCGTGGGCGTTACATCACGGTCGCGCTGGCGGAGAGCGGCCAAAGACATGTTTGGTGCGACTTGCGGGGTCGGCTGTGGCGCAGGCATCAGCCTCAGGCGAAGACGAGTCTTGATTGGGTGGGAAGAGGGGCAGAGTGCATCTTTCTGGCCTTGCGGACAGGTGTGGGCAAGGCGGTGCAAGCGAATCAGGACTCACTGGGTCTTTACAGGGTCTGCGAGGCGTACGCCCGGCATCAACGTCGAGGGAAAGATGGGGATGTGAGGAGTGAAGGGTAGGGCTTAGCGTGGGTGTGTTTGTGGGGGACGGTCTGTTCCGGTCTGGGTCGACGAGAGTCTAGGGCGACGGATGTCGTGGCCGGCGGGTAGGGAGAGTCGGGGGTGTTTTTTATGTCCAAGATCTCGATGTGTCGGTCTCAAAGCAGATCAGATGGTTTCTGCGAGATGCGGCTCTGGGAGGGATTGGCATCTTTGTCGCTGCTCGGATCTTCACACCCACCGACCGCTTGCATACCAAGTCGCCCATGGTGAGTAACCGTCATTAGCCCATCGACCACGACGGCGTCACGCCCTCGAGCAACGGCTCGCCTTGCCCTCAGCGATAGTGAATTGATTGGGCCGGCAGCCTGCAGATGACGGCTGTCTGCAGAAGTGGGGTGACGCCTCTGAACAGCCGAACACCCTTTCCCCACTGCATGGCCGACCGCTCCCGTGCCACTACGAATTGACCTCTTGTATGGCGCTTTGTCGGTGAACCCGATGGGCTGTCCCGAATGAAGAGTCATCTGAATTGGCTTGGCCTACGCAAATATACTGCACTTTGGTGTGTCTGCACTGTGGTCATGTGCTTGGTGGAGATTAACGACTCTGTTGGTCCAAATATAAGAGTGACATAGGTATGAACAGATGTATATCTGTGGTTGCGGCACAGCAGATCAGAGCGACCGACTGAAGCAGGGTCAGTAGACCAGCTGGGGCAAGAGTGCATGCTGCCATCACATACTATCACCGTACATACAACGTACATATTTACACTTTGATTTTTATCTTCACAGTGCGTCCAACTGGGATGATCGACCACGAACCATGTACATACCGTATGTAATTAATAACCAGCAATACGAATGGAGTAATTCGCTCGTCAAGCTGGTGACAAACTTTCGGCCCATGCCGGAAATACCAAGACCGTGTTGACACATACCTGGCTTCGTACATCCAACATGACGGCAACTCCCTATATCGCCCTGAGAAGTGGGAGAATGCCAGCTGTACGTACAGTGTTGCGGTCCCAGCGAATGCGCCCATGACTGGCCCTTGGCACTCTGATGTCGCGTTTCATACTACGCGAACGATCCCTGCTGCTTCAAGCGGCCTGCGACACAACCTCAGCACAAAACCACTGCCGTGCGCATGTGCACCATCCCCCCGTTTCCGTGGCTCGCGACCTCTCTTGGCCATGTTCTGGTTTCATTCTGCAGCCCACATTCAACCTCTTCCACGTGAACTGATCTGGGTCTCCCGACACCCATAGCACCCAAGTACCTACAGTATCAGCCGCCCAACATCTTAGCTCCTCAACGCTACCGTCTCAGATCCTCGTGTCACGACACTTTGCCGTCGCGGCACGTCCTAGGACCGTGATAAAACTGGAGACCAACCTTGCATAGCAGCCGCAGCCACCCCTTCCCGCGCATGATCACTTTTCCACGAACCGTCATAGTGTCCGCGGTACCCTGGATTCGCCTACTTCACCCTTAGGCCGAGCTCCCGCTTTACGAACGACGCTGTCGCTGCTGTCGTAATACTCGCTCGCTCTAGAAGCCAAAGATCGGCAAAACTTCCATGCTCATACAACGCCATAACATCATACGGAAATACCGATCGACTGCATCGCTGCCCACGCCTTGGGCGACATGCTCACACTCGCCTCGCTCTACAGCCTCCCTCCCGTACTCCTCAGCCTCACAATCACACGCGCCTACGCATCCCCAGATGGAGTTATCGGCGACCAGAAGACGCGTGTCCGCCCTACCTTCGCGACCACCTTGACCGGCGGCGAGGGCTGTGACCTGTCCGAGATTGACGACATCCGCGAGGGCTTCTCCGAGATGGTTGCCCTGTTTGCCGCTGCTACGCCCTTTGACCCCACCTCGCAGCCAGGACGAGAGTTCTTCGGCCCCTCGATAGCTGGAAACTACACCGACATGATTGCTAAGAATCTGCAGCGAGCAGCAAACTACGGAGTACTCGACGGAGAGGACGGTGCCATCAATGCTGACATCCATATACGGTGCGACGACCCCATGAACCTTTGCGACAAAGGCAACAGACGCGAAGGTAACCACGCCGCCTACAACCTCGGCAACGAACCGCACGTTGTCTTCTGCTCCGACTACTTTGACATGGACCCCCTCGAGGCGCGAATAAACAACAAGGCCGAAGACCAAATCCAAAAGGACCGCCTGATGGAATACTACAACCGCGCTTCTCTGTGGGCACGCATGGTGATGCATTTCTCCGACATCGGCACAGCAGTCGTCCAACGGCCCACTCCTGCACCTCCAAACTCGACCACCGAATGGATTGTGACCTCTTCTGAAGGTCCAATGAATACGTCTGTGCTCGCTGGCGTGCTCAACGAACAGGGTGATGGCCCAACCGACCGCCAAACCCTCAAGTACGCATACGGTGCCACACGCGCAAAGCTGCTCGCCACTCTATCCACCCAGATGCCCTATGATGCTGCAAACAATGCTGAGAACTATGCTCTCTACGCCCTGTCGCAGTACATTATCAAAGACAAGACCTTCTACCCCGCAGTCCCCATCATGGATTTCCCAAACGAAGCAAGCGTGCTTACCAATGACAACCTCCAGGATGGCGAAAGGTGCAAATATGCCTTTTTCGACATGTCCGACGTCGTGTGAGTTTCTCCTTTCCCCTTTATTTCTTTTCCGTCCTAGCATGGTGCAGACATGTGCATAAAGGCTAATGTTACAAACAGTGCAAGACCGTCGGATATGTTATTAGAAGGCGCGCCACTACCCTCTGCAGCCTCATCTTCTCGTGCCTTGTCTTCGGCCATGATAGGCATGACTGGCGCTGCCTTAGTCTACGCCTTCATGGCCACGTCGATTGGATGAAGTGGATCAAAGTTGCGAGAAACGCCAAGCATTTCTGTGTTTGAGTGGAAATTTTCCAAGAAGAAGAAGAGCAAAACCAAATCTCTTGCTAGGAGATGTAAATGGCATGGGAGCCATGTATGCGTTAAAATCCCCCGCTAAACCTTGTGTGCGTCTGGCAACGCTGATTGCCTGATGTGAACCCATGATGGACAGACATCGTATGATGCGACACGGGTCCGGGAAAGCACCTCCTCGTATTGGATGAGTACGTAAAACCCCTAACCCTGTCATCTTTTTTGATACCGCTTTCGATCTACAAGCGGATACTTGGGTCGTACGGAAGCGTAAATGACTACGCCTGGCAAGACTTGGGTGTGGTAGGGGACCATGGGCGCCAAGGGATAGTAATTTTGACTCCGTAGCTCCACGCTAGTATGTAGAGTCCTATCATGATGGTAATTTTTCGACTGGCTGGTTGAAGAAATCAAGGCGAAGAAGAAAAGGCATAGATGTCTTTGACCTTGATGTCCTGGCCTGTTCGATAGCGATAGAGAAGATAGTAATAGTAATAGTCAAACAACAAATGTCGAATTGACAGTGACTGTATTGTGACTTCTATACCTTCTCTTGCACAGTCGACAAGCTGCGAGCACCGAATGTGGCAGTATGTTCTGTTCCAGTATGTCCTTCCGGGTATCAAGAGCAAGCATAGCTTTCTGAAGTAAGGCATAACTATGGAAATGTAAAAACAGTCGTAGTCGTGTATTACCCAATACTATATTTCGAAGATTGCCCTCGCATCCTGGGCGAAAGAGGTCGATGGACAGAAGGTGGATTCCAATCCGGCCGCTTCCTCGTCGGCCTTGAAGAGCCAGGCTCACCCGGTCCATTCTTCATAGCCTGCACTACGGCCTCGATGACGTTTCCCGTCTCCGCGCGCACCTCTGCATATTTAGCAGTAATCAAAGGCTCCTGAACGTGCAGTCTCAGGCTGCCAGTCAGATCCAGTTTCTTGCCCGCTTTCAGCAAGCCCATGAGATCTGGTCTATCTTGAATAGCTTTGGCATTGACAAACATGCCATGGTCGTCGTATCCTCGCTCTTTCAGTTCGTCTTTGATTGCATTGCGTAGACGGCGTCTCGCCCATGCTCGTACACAGCTCGACTTGCTCAGATTGACACCTGTAGTTGCATGCCACCAGAGTCCTTGTTTCTTGCGTTCTGCCTGTCTGCGCTTCTGCGTCTCATGGAGGGGATGCGAAGCGTCGCTTACGACGTGGTTGAGGATGAAGTTTTTGTATTCTGGCGCATAGCTTACTGTGAACGTATTGGGCTTGTTCTTAGCGAGGATTGCGAAGGCGCTCTTCATGACTCTCTTTTTTTTCTTTCTTCCTCGTTCTATCCGTCACGTTTCGACGAATTATGCACAGTGACGTTTGCAAAAAAAAAGGTCGAACACAAAAACGGTCACAAGGAAGACGGGTTGGCTGCTCGGGTGAGCGCCCAACGCTAGACTCAAGACAGGCAAGCGCAGGGCGTTTAGCGCCAAATGTCCAGGGCAGGCATCCCACAGTGACTGTGTCGGAATCCACGCGAAGGCGAAGCGGGCTGTGTGTGGTGCAAACAACGGGTCCCGCCACTACATAAGAACTTGCGCCCTGCTTTCTTAAGTCCCCCGACTCCCATCTCCACTTACAATCAACACACAAACAAGCTTCGACAACCGCCAGTATGCCGAAGAACAAGGGAAAGGTATGTTTGTTGTTGCTTCCTTTGGAGGGGCAAGGCTCCCCACTACATGCGCACACAACCTCCATGACGCTGCCTGGCCTCACTCCCAAGCAGCGTCTCACCTCACCTCATGGCGAAGTGTGAAGCGCTAGCACCACTCTATACATTTATTACCAAGACGCCCAAACAGCGTCAA